CGAACAAAACAAATAGCTTTCATTGCGAAATAATTAATTTTGTTCCTTTGGTGTTAATGATTGAATCGATCACACAAGTAGTAGTCAATTTAAACAGCATTGTTTTTAAAGAATTTATTCAAAACAATATTATTAATGATTTTTAACAAATTTTTTTTTGATACATATGCTTTAAAGTTTATTTTTTTGATAAATAATAATTCAATAGATTTTATTAGAATTGTCAACATGTTCATCTTTATATTAAAGCAAACAATCCAGGACCCATTTCAAATCAACTAATTTCGAATTGATGTTATATAAAGATAAGTTTTAAGAATTTATGGCAGTTTTTTTTCAATGTTCAAAAATTAGCCCATATGTCTCTCTTTCTACAGCGAGCATCTTGATGGAATCTATATATTAATACGCACAGACAGAACAGAAGAATCGTTATACAAAGGGTGATACTGTTTATATATTATAATTTAAGTAGTTATTCAAAAGCAAAGCAAAATTGTAATAAAATTTATTAATAATTATAATATATACGTTATAAAATATTACAAATATTGAATTAAGATTAAATCAAAAAGAGCAATTCGGAAATAATGCAAGCTATTTCTAAATAATTTAACCTTTATAATATCTTTTGCTCAATTGAGCAGTTGCAACATATTCCTTGTAGTTGATGGGTATTGTTTCATTAGCGGGAATATCTGTGACGGCAAAATTGAAGAGATTTGAGTTTGAATTGAGATCGTTGGAGATGAAGATGGATTCCGCCGAGAAAGAGACAACCACATTAAGAATCGCGTTGTTCTTCGTAGGGTTTATAATCACGACACAAATTTTGGCGCTAGATCCTGTGGCAACAGTGTCAACAGCATAACAAGCATAACCATCAGCTCCACATTCTTTATCTAGGTAAACTTTATCGATATCTGGGTCATATAAAGCAACAGCAAATCCGTATCCACTATTTTTTGATTTATCTTTCCCTTTAACAGACGTGCCGAACAGAGGAGAAGAAAGCTCAGAGGATGGTGGCGCTAGTCTTACACTATATGCTATAAAAAAAAGTATTTTATTGTTAGTTATATATAATAATAATAAATATTTGATTCTTATTTAATTAATTTAATTAATAAAATTACCAGCATTAGTAGTTGCTTCAGTTGCGCAAAGGACCCAACCACCATAGTTGGATGGAAGAGCTACGGTTTTATAGGGTACATTAGGAACAACTCCATAAGTAGTTGTGCTCTATTAAATTATGATTAATATAAAAATAAATCAATATTGAACAATAAACAATATAAATGCATAAATTTATAAATGATGATATTAACCAATGTAATGAAGAAGAACCCAAGAAAAATCAAATAGTTTTTCATAATAAGTTTAGGCATTTATTAAGGTTTTAATAATTTATAATTCACCGTTAGAATTTTTGGTGGAGTTCCAACCTTCTCAAATCCACCTTTTATATATTTAAATTATCCCTATTAACATGGACATCGGTCGGGAAGGGTCTTTCCAAAGTTGGAATAGAATTTAAGCCACTTTGTCGATCAAATCATGTTAACGTGATACTTGGTTGGAAAGGTTTTTATATGATATATACTGTATAAGTAATCAAAATGCTTTTTTTGTCTTGTGGCATCAGAAGAAAAACTGGCAGTGGTGAGAACACCAAATACGCTTATATTTTAACAAGGCCAAAATATAATTCCATTACTTAAAATGGATAATTGATTTTCAATAAATATTTGTTAATTCGTGTTGTGCTTTTCATCTTTGTTTTTATGCCATACTCCAAATCAATCAATGGTGAGGGGAGATGATGATGACAAATAATTACACAAATAATTGTAAGATTAAATACAAGTTTCTAGGAGGAATTCTTGACAATTGTTTTTATTTTTCTAAAAACAAAATACACCGGACTCTTCCTTTGCCAACCGAAAAAAGATTTTAAATTACAAATTATTAAAACAAACATTAATAAGTAATACTAAAAACATATCTTTTTTAATCTTCGGATTCTTGCTAGCTTTATAATATTAGTAGTTAACATTACCGTCTTTTTCATATTGTATGTGCTATGCAGCACTCGTTATAATGTGAAAATGGTCAGAAACTACACTTTCTTGTGTGGGCATTGTTAACTCTACTGTTAACGATATTCTTATTGTTAACGTAGTGGTATCATTTGACACCGATCCATTCATTATATTTGGCACCGCTGATAGTGGTTCCAGTTTTGCCAATTTGAATATTACCACTAATGACGCCATTACTGCTGAATTAAGGATCTACATGGATCAATATTGTTTTTATACATATGTTACAGTTTATTTGTAATTAGAATAATTAGAATGAATATTTAACATAACGGATAATCATGCAAAATTTATTATTAATCCATTGATATCAGGGCCAGAAACAGGATCTGATTAAAAAAAGTAAATTTCTATTATAATACTAATATTGAAAGAAAAAATTTTTTTCATTCGTATTTGTAATAAAATTCTTTCCGGAAGTTAAAATTTTTTAAAATACTATATATTACCATTTCCAGCCTGATTGATATACATTGATCAAAAACTAAAGACTGATCTGAGATCCTATATCTCTAATACTTGAAATATATTTTGTTTGGAAGTGCAAATTCACATAGAAAATTTTCTGGCTGATCTTTATTTAAAATGGCAAATGCTACGTAATTGCCAACAGTGTACAATAATGGGTGTATTTTTGGAGGAAAGAAAAATCAATTTCCGGATTAATAGGCCGAATTTTGGAAAGAACATATATAACTCAGCCCAATTTCGTGTGACTTATTTTTGTGATTTGGTTGAATGGCACAATATTTGTCCAAAATATTTATGACAATCGGTTATTCGTAATAATAATATTTGTGGTCATTCATAATATTGCCACCGACATAGAAATAAACCGGACACAAAGATATAACCCATTCTCACCTGTTTATATTGGTGGCACAAATTTTGAGTTAGCATAAAAGTATAAAAGTATGATGTTTGCCTTTTCCAATTTGAATTCCTTCTTTTGGATTTAATATTTAATTCTCTGTTACCCAAATTATAGTGTTGCGGTCATTTTCACTTTGTTCAAAAGAACTTTCGAACTATACAATGTTTACGTTTAATAGAAACTTCCCAGTTCTGCTAAAGCAAAACATAAATAATCATGATAATCCAATTACTTTAATTGGCAGTGAATCAACTTAATTGTTGTTGAATCATAAATTTAATAATCACTTGTTCTATTTTAAATATTCAAACGCCTGCCTCCTTTCTTTACTTGATAATCTTTTTTTTTTTTTTCAAGGAAAAAAAACATACAAAATACAAAAAACAAGTTATACATTGTTTTGTGTGCGACCACTGTATAAAAATTTTTTTTTAGCGTGCAGATAAAATATACCTCAGAAAATATACAAGGAAAAAGAAAAAAATTTACTCTTTAACGATTGTAAATTTTTCGTGCTAAAATTTTGAAATATCATGTGATCCACATGTTGGATTAAAAAAACCTCCTATTACTATATCAAAAATGGCTAATTCGAAAAAAGCATATCCCATACTCCGAAGAAACCAATGAATGCATCGTTTACTCACTTCCTATGATATTACACTAATAAATGAATATTTACAATTAAAAAATTTATAAGGATAATAAAATTCTTGATGAAAGAACAGATACAGTAACGCGAAAAGTCAAAACAGTGATTGATAAAAGTCTAGAAAATTTGGAAAAAGAGATCATTATAGGAAATAAATGACAATTTATTAGAAAACGTAAAACATTGATAAGCCACTTCAAGTTTGGTAGAATAACATGGCACCAGAATAAAGAAACGTAAATGAAAGCAAAGGAATTTATTTTTAATCCAAACAAACTTACAAAAGATTGAGCAAATACTGTGCTATGTTTCATTTTATTGTTATTATTGATTTTTTTGACGTCTAAATGTTGTTGACCTTTTTTTTGGATAATTCTTCTGCCCTCTGTGCTGATGATTGTTTTAAACTAGCTGTATATCATTTACTACTGTTGTTGATTTCGGGACATCCTCAACATCTATTTCACCTTTATCTACCAAAATTTGAAGTTGACTTTCCATTTCCTTTACTGTAATTTATTTACATTATCAGCCAAAAATAACCTCAAGGTATGATTTTTATTTTATTCCTTTATTCTTTTTTTATATTTTGGAATGCCTTTCAAGCCCATTCTTTCTTTAGTTCAGATGTTTCTTTATCAACTATATTGAAATAATGATATACTTTTAAATATCAATGTTGTTTTATTATGTATACCCGTTAATTGAACACTATTAGATTTATAGTTTTTTGGTTGTTTATCTAAATATAGTCAACATTTATTTAATATAAAAATAAATATGTTAAAAAAAATTAATTCTTCTTGGTACAAAACCGCAATACCATAACAATTTCAAATGGAAAAAAAAATTAAAAGGAAATTCCTATATACCACAAATATTTCATCATCAAAGCCCAAAACACATTGTCCAGAATAGCATGTTGTATTATCAAAAAAAATTTTATAATTTTCATTTATACTTCACTTGGTGTTGAATAAATCACAGCGTTCTCATATATAACTGGGCTTCATAAAGCGCTTAACCTTAATTCTACTCTCATATTAATTCTTATTTGGTTAAGATATTTTTGCATTTTCTTTATTAATAGAATCCACCAATAAATACCAGATGGATAGTTTGATTGATTTCGCTAGGTGCCAAAATTTGTCTTCGATGTTTTTGTGTAGACGTGAGGATTAACTTGTGAGGACCGGTGTCAAGCTTTGTTGGTAGATATTCTAGATCAAATATTATTTCCAAGATGGTTCGAGTCCATAGCATATTCACTCACTGTTAGTAAATGTTGCTTTGAACATAAGTGTCTGATTGATCATTGTGTGGATCAATAAGCGTGTACAATTCGTCATACACCATCTTAGTTTTAGCATTGTTTTTCTATTCCTTCATTTGATCTTTGTTTTTCCAATTATCATTAAAAGGTGAGAGGCGAGAAACACCAAAAGTACTACAAGCTTGTTTTACACAGCGAACATAGTATCCCTGCTTAGTACTAATTGCTGATGTAAAGAACATGTTAATTAAATATGTCAAAGACATCTTGCACGACAGCATTAATTTCATCCTACCAATTATACATGTAATGATTTTTGTTATAAAATCTTTAGAAAAAGAAACTTACAGTAAAACCATCACTAGTTTTCTTTTTATTAGTTGTCACTTTTTCTACATAATTATTGGGAAGAAGACTGGTCCAGTTTTTTATCATGATCAACAAGTTTTACTTTAATATCGTTAATGCCTTCAATAATTATCTGCTAGTTACTTATCAGTGTAATATATTGGAGTACTCAATCAACATATTTCTTTTTTTTCCTTAAATGGCATTTGAATGGCTGAAATACACATTCTCCAGTCAAATTAAGATTTACTGGAGAATCATCAAGTTTGTTTTTCTATATATATCCTTATCATCTATAACAACAATAGCTTGGTTTCTTTCTAGTCTTAACATTCTTTGTTGGAAATAGGGAAGGAAGGCACACTAACTTGTATCTCCAAATAAAAAATTTATATAGTCAAAAAGCATATCATGGCATCAGATCTTGTTAAGCGAGTTGGCCAAAATAAGGAATTCAATTTCGCTACTTATTAGATGAATCTTTGTGTGATTTTCTTCTATGCATATTTGATGCTAGAGAAAGTCGAAAAGAATGAAAACAAGGAAACTAAAAAAATACACCACTTTTTATAATTAGAGATTGACACATGATGCCACGTAGCTTAAATCATAGTAAAGTTAGAATCATTATATATTTGTTTTAACAGACAGACTATTGTTACTTTAATTGTTATTTGTTTATTTTAATAAAATAATTTTTATTTACGATGTTGAAGTGAGTGGCTGTGTAAGACTTTCAAGATTCTCGGCACTTAGTAGCGTAGCAATTAATATGATGACTATTGTTCTACCCAGATCTCTGGGATTCACAAAATAATTTATTTTTCCTGATTATCAATTATGGTTTCCTTATAAATAATAAATCTGATGTTGATTGCAGGCGTCAGATTTAATTAAAAATTCCTATCACAAATGCGCAATTGCAAGTCTTTCATATCCACAGAATTTTCTTTTCCATGGATGAAAAAATTGTCAACACATTAGAAGGCTTTCACAATCTTCCTCTCAGACCAGGATGGCTGTTACCATATGGGCATTGATTTGCTGATGAGAGTTGTCATTCGTGTGATGATTGCTTTGTGTTATACCTCTCTATAATAAAGTTGGTGTCTGCAATTGGTTCAAAATTCTGCAACTCAGGAGGTTGCAACCTGGGTCGTTGTTTTGGATTTTCCCCAAATTCAGAGTTTTGAGTCCTGGTTGCTGTCTTGTTGGTGGCATGCCAACTTACCAACAACCCTACCCCCAATTTAAATAATAAGTTCAGTTGGTCAAATAAAAATTAAAGAAAACAGAGAATTTATAAAAAATGATTAATTTATATGGAACATACCAAACAAAATCTGAACCATTTTATTTGACAGCTTTCTCCTTGATTCCAGTGATCATGGTGACGCTCACAATAGGAGTGGGCAAAATCAAACCGCCACCTTTATACTTATAAAAACATACTTTTATTGAGCTACACTTCTTTAACCTAGGGTGGGTTATATGGGCAAAAGCCCCCATTTAAATAACATCAAGTTCAGTTGGTCAAACAAAATTTAAAGAAAAACAGAAAATTTATGGGGATGATTAATTTATAACATAACATATCAAACAAAATCCGAACCATTTTATGACTTTTGTCTTGTTGGCCATATTGCTGACAAAGATGTATATAATCATGCAATAATTTTAATCTATAAGACAGAGAACTGATTGGGAAAAAACCCCTACCCAAAATTATAAATTGGTTGTATCAGAAAAACAGAGCATTTATGAAAATGATTATTATACAAAACAAACACTATTTTACAACTTTCCTCTTAACATCAGAGTTCAAATGCAATTCCAGGGTCACCAATCCTGCTCTGAATTGTAACTTCCTGTGCTTGAACAAGTTGCAAATCCTCTTAATATTCCTCCAGAGTTACGAAAGCTTGATCACAGAGCCATCCTTGCCCTAGAGGTAGGATTATTGCAGGCAAATTTTCGGCCAGCATGCCAGCCTTCTTTGGTCTGGTGCTGTGAGGGAAGATTAGTGA